CTCTCTCTCTCTCTCTCTCTCTCTCTCTCTCTCTCTCTCTCTCTCTCTCTCTCTCTCTCTCTCTCTCCCCCTTCCTCTCGCTCTCTCTCTCTCTTCATCTTACCCTTTCCCCCTTCCATCACTTAGCAAATAACTAACCCTTCACCTCACACTTGTTACATTGCTAGAGAACGAACGGTGAAACGAACTTGTCTCGCTTGGCGGAGAAGGTGGGCAAGGGGGGGGTTGTCAGTCCCTTGTGCCGCCAAGAAGGGAAAAAAAGGAAAAGACACGCAAGCAATTGAGAAAGGTCAAGTCCGAAAAAAGGGCTAGTTGGTGCTTGAAGCGAGGTCAGTTTGACTTAACCATTTCCCCGACTAGATGACTATGAGAAGAGGATGGACTAATTGAGCAAAGAAAGGAGAACAATGAGAAGCCAAAGAAAACGAAAGATTAGGGATGCGGGAAGGGCTATGTGTTAACCCCAATGGGGGATTGTATCGGGCTTTGCTTTCGTGTGGGATTGTGTAGGTAAGTAAAGTCTTGGGATGTCTTGAGCGGGACCGGGCCGGGAGAAATTGGGCGGCAAGGGAAAAAGGGAAGAGGTGGCAAAGGGGCTACGAGCCCTTAATGTAAAATCGAACCATAAGGGAGACCTTTGTGCTTGAGACTTGGAATGCGAACAAAAGAAAAGGATGAGGCTTGTTGTTGATCGGACTGTGAAGTAGCCTGTGTATGCATGTGAAGGCCCCGAAAGGACTAAGGGGCCTGCTCCAATGACGATGGATGAAATGTATGAGGCGAGGAGAGTGTAGAGGCGAGAGGGAAGACGGTGTTCCCGCACCCCGATGCCACCGAAGGATTGTTGTGCTTAGGGAAATGGTGTGTGGCCTAAGGATGACGCTTAGCATGCGCACAAGAGAAGAATAACTCCCAAAGAACCCTTGGACTGCGTGCGTATTGGAAGGAGCATTTGCTTGAGAACACAACCAAGAATCGAAAAAAAATCAGCCTTTGCGAAATGAGCAGCGAGACTACCACCCGCCGTGAGGGTTGAGCTACATCCCCAATGTCAAAGCTCTCTCGCGCAATGACCCACCCCCATCCATCTCAAAGCACTAGGTGGGGGTGAGCCTGGGACGAACGGCCCGCACCCTGAGCGTGAGCGTGGGCGGGTCGAGCCAAATGGGACCCGCAGTGGGGTCGACCAAGGCTCGAAAGTCTACCAGGGTTTGGCCCCACAAAATTGGTGGAGGTGTCGGGTAGGGGGTTAAACTGACCCTTGCGATTCCGAGGGGGGCACGCTACGCAAGACCGTGCACACAACTAAAGATAAGGAAATTGGGCTTGTGCTTGCTCTTTCCCTTAGGAGAATCAGATTTGAGAGTGGCTGGGTGCATGATATGGCCAGACTTGGAGGTATAACATGCATGTTACACACTCGATCAGTTCTACTCCGTTGAGGAGTAGCTCTAACCCTCCTTCCGACGGTGCTGGTGTTCGCCAGTCCGGGGAAGCCTTGGGCAAGTCGCATGTCGACCCTTCCTCTTCGTGTGAAAGAAGGGCTCCGGTTACCTGGCAGGCGGTTGGTCCTTCGGCTTCGGTCGGGGTCCAATGAAAATCCCGCAGCGGAGCGATCCGGCCGAGTGGGTGCCCTCCTCTCTTCTTCTTTGAGCCCAGCGGGCTCATGCACTATCCACTTGAAATGCTTGAAGGAACCTACATGAACACAACGGTTCATCAAGAAGGAACAATCCTAGCCTTTGAAAGGACATACAAACGAAGATAAAAGGAATAAAGGGAGTTGCTAGACTCCTAAGAAAACTAACTCACCCTTAAAGACGCTCACGAGAAGGAACCAACCACTATGTATGGAAGTAAGGGGAGTGACACTCATTGTCCTGAGAGAAAATTGTGCGTTATGGGTAGGAAACGTTGGGTGCACCAAGGGAAAGATACTTGTACTATGTGTGTCCCACTTGGGACTTGTGATTTGCATGAGGGGAATTGAGCGTCCTGCCTTTCGAAAGGAAAGGATGGGTCTGCACCAGCTGGTGCGGGATGGTGAAACGTCGTTGTTTCGTAGTGCCGCCGGGTCTCATATGTGGAGGTCAGACCACGGAGCTGTCGGACAGGAGTTGGTCTCGTCGGTAGATTAGTAGCACTCTCTACCGGGCGGACCGAGCATGGCTCGGCACCTTGCCCAGGCGGGATGCGAAACGTCTCCTTAGGTGGGGCTTAGCTTGTCGGTTGGCGGAGAGGGACCATTGTGTATAAGGCAAGGAGGGAGCCTCGGAGACGACTAGTAGCTTCCCATAGTACGGTTTGGGAAAGGCTGATTTTTATCGTACCGATGAAAGTGAATGCCCGGACGGTTGACTTTTTGCTCCTAGCGGGGTGCGCCAGGTGATTCTCGGTACCAACGGGGTATGCAAGAGCGGCAAGACGGGATGGGGTATTTTGGGCGAATGAAGAGGGGTAACACCCTGTCCCGGAGCCTGGGTACCGCGCTCGCGACGGTTGAGCTGCGCTTGAGGTATGGGATAAAACCCTGCCGAAAGTACCAGCGGAGAGACCATATTGGGGTAGGCCGGTGAGGAGATGACTAACCCGTATGTGAGATTGCCTGATCTTTTTTTTGTGTATTCCCCCTCTGTAAAGGTTGACTGAGTTGAAACTGTTGAACGGGGTATGATTCTAGTCTATTCTCACCTCTCTACCTAAGTCTACACGAGTGAGAGATGATTGAAAGAAATGAAGGATAGAGGTCAGTCAGAATCGAACCAAGAAAAGGAATGTTGGATAGTGATGGACGACCGAAGGTACTATGGAGGGGTGGTACTTAGGAATGGGGAGGTAGAGGAGAGAGACCCGGATGAGGGGTCTGAAATAATTCTCATCTAGGACGTGGGTTGACCTGACCGAAAGGGCCGTTTGGTACTCTCTTATGGAAACAGGGGTCGGGTGCTGGAAACAAGATGGTGTGGTGGTTGTCATCCCCGATCTATACCAGCAGTCCGGAAATGCCGGTAGATGTAAAGGATGGGGTATCAGTCGTCCTCCCGGAAGAAAGGACGTGGACGGATCTAGAATCGCTAGACGAGGAGGACGCATTTCTTTGGATAGAAACGGTATGGACTAAAGTCACTCTGACAAGGTTGTCGCCAAGATTAATGGATTGAAGTTCCGAGGGACAGTGGAAGCCTGAAGGTGGGTCTACTTGTCGCAGGATGGGGAGAATGCTATGGTCATAGACTTGGTACTAGGGACCGCGCCGGACGAATTGCTTAGGAAGGCAGAAAGGGAGGTTGTATGGGCCGCGTGTCAGCGGGCGGAGATGGAAATAGAAAAGGTAGACGTGCGAGTGGAACTCGGGGATAGGGGGAGCGTGAGGCGGCCCGTCAGAACGATGAGATGTGTGTTGCCTCCCTTTTTGGTGGATGCGGTCTTCGGAACTCGGAGCAGGCTAGTACAGATATGTCAATCCATGACAACCCTCAGACTATACCAATGCGCCAGGCAGGACTTATTTCGGCTGTTGGTAGAAGTGGGTCCCTTTGAAAGAAATTGGGCAGAGGAACTGACCGAGATGTTGAATTGCCTTAGCATAGACAATGTCTTTGTCCCTAGCTCGGTGCATTGGGGGATAGTCTACAGAAATGTGGCAGTAGGGGAGACATTCCTGGAAGGGGTGAGGGAATTGTTTTACGACGAAGAAGACGACTTCAGTGACGAGGACGAAGGGGATGAGATAGAGGACTGGACTTCTAAGGTGGAGGACTTATTTAGGGAAACTGAGTGGTCTCGCATTGTGTAGGAGGGAAAAGATGATTAGAGAAGAATTGTTGATGGACTGTACTTTCAAAGGATGGGAACCAATGCGACTCAGAGGGGGAGTGGAAATGCCTATACCAGCGGAAAACGAATGGAGTGGTCCCGATAGAACGGATCTGGAACCCAATAAAGGAGGAGGAAGGATAGGACGAGATAGCGGAAGGTAAAGTGAAATCAGTTGGAACAATCGTTCTTCCCGAAAAAGGGTGGCATTTATTCTGCACCATGATAGCAGCGGGGCAGAACCCGATGTGGCTTCTAGGAGATGCGGAAGCGCGGACCCGAAAAGAGGGCAAGAGGTTCGCCAACAAAGGATGGGATGAAGTCAGTAGTAGGGTTGTGATGGGAGGATGGAAGGAACTCAAGCCTCCCAGCCTGCGAACAACAACGTGGGTACCTGAGTTTGTGGCGGAATGGTTTGGGGGTTTCGACCACATTTTAGAAGTAGTGGACTCCATGAGAGGGACGCACATAGGGTGTGCCTGACTGACTGAGGAATTTTATAGGACCTCGTTGAAATACGGGCCCTTCTACGGTGATAAAGCCTGGGAAATTCTCACCGTCCTGAGAATAGGTAAGTATGACCGCCTAGAGGTAGACGCGGCAGCCTGGGACGCCATAGTTAGCAGGGAGGCGGTGGCCGCTCCATCCTACGTAGATGATGTTTTCAAACTGTTTGAAGTGATGTGGTTCGATTAAAAGAACGGGAAATCAGACGTCGTGGGGGAACCAATGTGTGGGGATGCATGTAAACTAGAGGGTAACATAAGATAGGGGCGTATACATTAGTTTAGCAGGGTGTGTGAGGAGATTGAAACAAGGAGAGGCGTCCGACCACTGTGGGCGCAGGTGTGGATCGCTGGGCAGAAAATAAGAAAAGGGACATGAGCGGGAAGGGAAACGGTAGGAGGATGAGCAGTTGCTGAAGAACGGACTGTGATCCTCTCTGTTTGGGCTATGTAGGAAATCACCAAACAACGATGGTGGCAAGGCGTGTTCGGACGGTACGCCAGCCCCAGTACCCTGGCCCGCCCTAGAATAACGGCAGAGGATGAGAAGTGTCCCTTCCATCAAGTTTCGAATTTTGGGGAATCGACGTGGAATGGCGGACCATGACCTTAGGGAGGGACAGCGCCTTCATGATGGTGAAATGTTTGTGGACAGGGATGTGATTTAACCGAGGGTCTGGGAATGACTTGTACTCCAATTTGGAAGTAACCAGGACCTTGTATATACCCAAGGTTGGTTGGCACTCACTGGGAGTGGGAATAGCACAAGGTCACGAGTTGGCCCAGGTCTTTCGGAGGGTCGCCCAGACATTGATGCAGATAGGCCAATCGGTCAGGGGTAGGAGAAACGTGGGCTAACGGACCAGGGTGGAAGTAGGAAGCTGGCGGGAGTTTAACACGCCAGCAACCCCGATTTATGATAGATCTCATCTTCTGGAGCCTCGCAAGGGCGCAGGATCTGGCGGACTCGGCAATAGTTTGGATAGACCACTTCCCACCTCAAACCATCGGGATGTTCTATGACGTCGTTGTGGAGCACGGACCATTCTGGGGAAATCGGGCCCAAGAATCGCTGGAGGTTATCAATATTCTGATACTTGGGTTACCGAGGTTAGCTTATGTGGAATACGAGCACATAATTCGGAGAGAGATCGAGGTGGGGGAAAGCTATCTAGCAGGGGTGACTCAACTATTTGCGGAGCCTACCGAACCGGAAGGGCCACGGGGACGAGAGCGGGACTAGCACCCGGAAGCAAGCTGGTAGGGCAAATAAAGTATATTCCGTTATGTATCGGGGCTCACCGATGGGAATAGGAAAAGGACCGTTGGACCCAGACAACCAAAAGCCGCTGCGGAATAGGGAAGGGGCAGATCCATGATAATTGCCATAACCCGGGGAGTTGAAAAGAATACTGACCAGGGACCCTGCACGCCCGACACGGTGAATTGGGGCACTCTAAACAAGCCTGTCCTAAGTTCTGTTCCTTAGCTCGATAGGGCAGTTGGGCCGACCACGGGTCCTTTTTTTTCATGGAAAGACAATCAGAGGACGGAAATGGGGAGGGGACTCCTTTCTAAATAAGACAAAACCGAAAGGACTAGAATCCTATGGAACCTGAATGCCTCGAGCTCCTTGTGTCCCGGGGGATCCTCTGTCTTATGCAGATCTAGGCAAAATGGCAACGGAGGATGAGACAGATAATCGTAGAAGCGAGGGAGGACCAAGCTTAGGAGGCAGCGCCGTACAAAGAGAGGAGGGTCAAAAGGACAGAGAATCGATAAATCCGGATGGTGCCAAGGGGAACAGGAAAAAAATATCCTCAGGGGAAAGCCCGGGAAAGGTCGGGGGAAGCGAGCAGGGGGCCCAGGTAAAAATAAGGACATGACAAGCCCCTCGGAATTCAGATGGAGCCGTATCTAAGAAGGTGAGGATCACGGATGCAAGGCGCAAACTAGCAGAAATAGAAAAGAGGACCGTAGAGTACAAGGCAAGATTGATCGAGGAAATGATGACTGGGAACGAGGAAGACCTTCTGCGAGAAGAACCGCGGGACGGACAGAAGGTCAGCCGAGGCGGAATTGGGCAAGGAGGTAAGGATAGTGACCGCGAAGGGACACCCAGCAAGAGAAGGAAGGAGAGAGAGAACTCCCCTGGAATGGAAGCAGAAAAGGATACGAACCCGCCGACCATAGACAACAGGGCTAGCCGCCTGCCCGCCGCACCAGCAGTAATGCGAGAGTGCCAAGGGCTTTGGAGCCTTAGGGAAAGGGTGTTGGGATGGTTTGACCTGGAGGGGACTGCAAAGACTAGAGAAGGACAGAGGGCCGGCAAGGAAGGGCAGGAAACCGGTGCGGCAGGCGAGGGCAGTAGCTCCGAGGGTGGCCTCAGGAAGATGATGTCGTCCCTCACGCGGACACTAAACAAAAACCAAGACTACCTCGCGGATGCTAATAAAAAGTTGACGTTTAACAGGGCGAACACCACGGAATTCGTGATAGATTACGAGAACCAAGCCGCGTTGCTGAAATGGAGTGAAGAGGAGAAGATGAACCACCTAGGACAGCATGTGTCGTTGAGCCTAGGACAAGACATAATGGCCATCGGGGCCGCAAGCCGGTCTTGGAAGGAGACTCGGGATGTAATGATGAGGAAGTACCTGGTGGCGGAGAAAATGGCAACTGAAGCCGATTTAGCGGCAGTCCAAAGGAGGAACTTCGCAACATACAATGACTTCCTGAGAGAGTTTACCCTGGCCGCACTAAGGATCCCCGGGGTAACAGAGCGGATAATGAGTAAGTATTTCTTCAGGCAGTTTTCCGAGTTTGATAAGGATAAGATTCTGTCGGCCTACCAACAGACGAGCAAATTTGTAAACACTAGGGATGTTGACTTCGGTACGGTGACGGATCTGGCCGAGAAAACGGTAGTGACTGAAACACTGGCCTTGCTTAAGGAGGGAGAGATCATAGATCTGACCGACAAGACGGGCGACAAGGTAAAAAGGGGGATTGAAAGCCTACATGAACGCGTGCACGGAGTTGACAATAAGATAGAAAGGGTGGAGGACGCGCTGATGGTTATGCAGGCCCAAGTATCCCGACCCCCCCTCCCTCCCCAAGAAGCCGTAGTCCCGGCGGGACTGGTCAACCGAGCGTTCGGTCGGAGAGATCCCGCCAACAAGCACTGCAGGTAGTGCACCACGGTGGGACATTTTGTGTGAGCATGTCCGAAGCTCAACCACGACATATTAAAAAGAAGATGTACTAGGTCATTAAAGGGGGAGATATTCGGACCTCAGGGAGAACGGGTGAACTGGAACTCACCAGGAGGAATGCGGCGCGCCGTTATGATCCTCAATGGGTTAAAGATAGCAGCGGTAGAGGCTGAACCGGTGGTCGATATCGTTTGGGACCAACTCCGAGGCCGCGGGCCACAGGTCAACTTCATCCTAAAAAGCAACGGGCATGACAGGGTGAAAACGACCACTCGGCTAGGGACGGACGGAAGAAGAATTATCCGTGACACTTTAATGAAAGAAGTTGCTCGGGACTCCGCGACCCAAGTAGAGCTCGAGACCGGGGAACCAGAGAAAGTTTACGGGAAACCTAGGGAAGAGGAGCCTACGGACAAGGTCGCCAGTGCCAAGAAAAAGTTTAGATATCAAATCCCGATCCTAACCATGTCTGAGATCGACGACACCCTTAGCAAACTGCTAGGAACCATGGTGTCAGTATCGTTTTAGACCATGTTGCAAGCCAGCCCCAGACTGCTCAAAGGGCTTAGACAACTGTTGACTTGCCGACGAATAGAGATAGACGAAAATCTGGAATCGAAGGAAGAGGAAAGGGAGGAGGAAGCTCCGCAAGAAGTCGTTAATCTTCAAAGGAGTCCTGGAGATTAGGAGGATCTAGAGAAGGCCTTTGCGGACATCTACCTGAGCTTGCCAGACCGTGAAGGCGGGGAAGTTATGAGGGCTCCACTAGAGACGAAGCTCAATTTCTATGCGTTGCCCATAGGAAAGTTAAAAGTGCAGATCGAAACGCATCAGACGCTCTAGTAGACGGAGGGGCGAAAATCACACTCATAAGGAGAGATTTCACAACAATTACCGGTTGTGTGGTTAACAAGGAAGTAATGGGGAGCATTCGAGGGGCCGGTGGCGAGATCCCGTTTTTAGGATACGTCACCAAATGTGCATTCAAGGCAGGCATCCAGGAGTCGATTTTGTCATTTCAGCGGATGACCGTGTTAGACGAGATGGACCATGACATAATCCTCGGGAGACCGTGGTGCGGCAATGTAGAAATGATAGGGATGCATCTGCATTATGGCACATATATGGTAGACCTAGAGGACCAAGTAACCGGCCGTGGGGAGCTCCTCCGGCTCATCGGTACCGGACGGGACCCGCCTAAAGGAAAGTTGGCAACGTGGTCACCGTCGTTCGAAGATAGCGCTCGAAAGGGGGCTTTAGCACGAATAAAAGGCATGAGAGAAAGAGTTGAGATTATGATTGAGGAAGCGTTCAACAAGAAAGAATGGATCAAGATGGGTCTGCCTCAGAAGAAGAGGAGGCAGGAGGACGAAATCAGAAGTTGAACTTGGGACCAGCCTGCCCAATCGGAAAGAGATGCGGATAGAGGTACCGAAAGTCGTGCTCGAGATCCCGATTTATTACAGCTCATCAAAGCAATCAGGTATCACAAAGTAGGGGTGGATCCGACGGCGATGGCCAAATTTGAAGGGGAAGTACAGAAGGGGTATTGTTTGAATGGGAAGATAATCAGTATCCAACCACGGGTCGCGGAGGCAACAAGGGTAATTCCAACCGTTCATTTTTTAAGAGAAAGATCCTGGAAGGAAGTGTTCGAAAGTACAAGCCAGTAGGGAAGAAAGCGAAGTCGGTCTCGGTTCTGCTAGAAACATCTAAGGAAGAGGCTATGAAAAGGTAGGAAGAGGTTCTCCGAGCAATCCGAGAGAGGCGAGCAACGGAAGGACATCGGATACCAAATGAGGTGGCTGACAAGATGAAGATAGGAATAGAGAGATTCTTAACAAAAGAAGAAACCCTCCTGATCAAAAGGACGTGTCAGGAGTTTCATCTGGCATTTGCCTTTTGTGATCACCAAAAGGGACGGTTGGACGCAAAGCTAATCCCTCCGGTCAGAATCCACACGGTAGAACATGAGTGTTGGAATGACACAGGACCATCCTATGAGTTCGGGATAGCCGGAGAAGTGACAAACCTTCCCTGAGCAAAAATGGATTCCTTCGTCGGGAGCCTACTGCGTCCCCATACGCAAATAGGTGGTTCGTCTTTCGAAAGCCCAACAAGACGCTAAGGTGGATTCAAGACCTTCAAAAGTTGAATGTAGTGACCATCCGGGATGCCGGCTTGTTACCGCAGGCCGACTTATTAGCAGAGTCCCACGCCGGCCCCATAATTTATTCCTTGATAGATTTGTATTCAGGGTACGACCAACTCCCATTGGATGCCCGGGACATACCATACACCGCAATGCACACCCCCATAGGCCAGTTGCAGATGCAGGTGACCCCATATGGGGTTCACGAACGCAGTAGCCGAAGCACAAAGGAGGATGCTCGCTATAGCCGAAGACATGTTTTCAAAGAAGTGTGAACCTTACACCGACGACAATCCGATTAAAGGCGCCCAGGAGAAGGACGAGACGGAAGTCCACCCAGGAATTCGAAGATTTGTGTGGGGCCATCTACAGGACATCAAGGACTTACTCCGCCAATTTTAGTATACAACATCACGGTTAGCGGACCAAAGAGTATTTTGGCATTACCCGAAGTTACCATACTGGGATTCCGTTGTGGCGCATATGGAAGAAAGCCGGACCCATCGAAGACCGAGAAGATATCACTGTGGCCTACGCCCCTACGCACGACAACGGAGGTAAGAGCATTCTTAGGCGTGGTCGGCTTCTGAAGGATTTTTATTAAAAATATTATCAGGGCTGTCGAGCCTATCCGCGCCATGATCAGAGAAGAAGGAACTATGGATTGGACAGAGGAGCGAGAGGGAGTTGTCCAAACCCTCAAGGACATACTGACATTGGAGCAAGTCAGTTTGGCAGCACCGTGTTTTAATGACGAGGTTGGACGACCGTTTATTTTGGAGACGGACGGAGGACCCCTGGTCATAGGAGGTATACTGATTCAAAGGGATGAGGGAGGAAAAGAAAGGCCAATTAGGTTCGAGAATAGAACCTTGAACTCAGAAGAATGACGATACTCACAGTTCAAAAAGGAAGTCTTGGACGTCCTGCAGTACCTCAAGACCTTCCAAGCCTAGCTGTTCAGGAGGCGTTTTATCCTAAGGATCGACCGGACCAATGCTGCGGGGGCTTTAAAAAATTACAAACCTATAGACCAGACAGTCGGGAGATGGGTAGGATTCATTTGGCAGTTCGACTACAAGATCGAACGAATTGCTGGACTCAGGAACAAGGTCGATGGGCTAAGTCGGGTCAGTATCACACCCAAAGGGGTGGAAGATGCAGAACTCATAGACGCGTTCTTTGAATACGAAGGAGGAACCCTTGCGGTGGATAATGAAATGATGAGCGAAGGATGCGCGTCGGGAGAATTGTTGATTCAAACCTTGGAGAAAAGGGCACCTGCCGTAGTGGTGGAGCTTAGGGAAGGGCCAATCACCATCCGGGGACGCAAAGAGGAGAAGGATTCGTCGGGGGCGATAGTAGGTCCGAAGGAGGAATTGATAGCGATGGTCATTGAGGGAGGCCGGGAAGCCGTGATGAGCCTAGTGGAGTCGTGGGAACGAAGAGAGTTGCAGCTAATGGTAAACCAGATGCAGGAGAGGCAGGATGAGGATCAGGAAGGGAAAGAGTTTCTCTATGTTCAGATGTACGAAGGGGTCTTTCGAGAAATCGGATTGCTGTTGGTAGGAAATAAGCAGCCCGTGGAGGTCAGCATTAAGGCAAGGGAGGAGGCCGAAAGAAACGTCCTAAGGAACAGTCATCTGTTCAGGACAGAGGAAGGCGTTACGCCTAAAAGAGTCGTATGCGGGAGGTCTAGGCAGTTGGACGTGATCCAGGCGATGCACGATGGACTAGCAGGGGTACATAGATCGTCCAAAGGAACCTTTGCAAAGATAACACCCCTCTATTACTGGCCAGGCATGGCAGGAATGGTCGCCATGTATTGTTAGACCTGCCTGATCTTCTAGGAGCGGAGCTCGGCGCACGTCTTCGAGCCACTTAGACCAACACGGATGTTGGGGCTGGGACATCTGATCCACCTTGACCTTGCGGTTATACCCGTATCAACTGATGGATAAATGTATATCCTGGACGCGCGAGACAACTTGAGTGGGTTCGTAGAAGCGGTCGCACTCAAGAAAAAGACGGGGAAAGGTATAGGAGATTGGATAGAGGATTTCTACGTGAGACATCACTTCATCAGGAGGTTTATAGCAGACAATGGAACGGAGTTTGTAAACCAAGAAGTGTTGGGAATGCTTAAAAGGCTCTGCGTACCTATCAAGCTCATCGAGCCGTATCACCCGGAGGCCAATGCACCTGTGGAAAGGGGGCACCGGACCTTAAAGAACACAATTGAGAAGCTCACAGCGGACAATCTAGGGAGTTGGCCTAGGCTTCTTAAGAAGGCCATCTTCTCGAAGAACATGACACCTAAGAGGACAACGGGATGCATCCCAGCGGAACTCGGGTGTGGAAGAGAGATCGATTTTCCTGTGGAAGCCTGGTTACCTACCTGGAACAGGTTAGATAACGATCCGCGTATGACCACGGAAGAATTAATTGAGGCACGATGTCAACAAGTCCTTAGAAACGAGGAGGCCGTGGAAGACATTGCCAACCGAGTACTGGACAACAAGATGAGGGATAAAACAAGGTGGGACCAGGTTAAGAATATCCGAAAGGAGCCGCTTCAGGTGCGAGAAACAATACTGGTAAGAAACTCGATACTCGAAAGTACCTGGTTTGGGCAACTGGGGAGGAGGTTCAAAGACCCCTATCGGATCGCTAAGCGGGTGAGACTGAACACCTTCGAATTGGAAGATTTGGATGAAACTGGATTGAAGGGGCCTTTCCCAGGATAACGGTTGGTCAGGTTTCTAAGTCGGGACCCAGTGGAACAATGGCTTCAGGAAGCCCAGGATAAGGAAACAGGGGAATCTGCAAGTTGAGAGCTAATGACAGTCGTACCCACCCTCTGTTTTTGTCTCTGACTACGTCTGTGGGACTTTCCTTTTTGGGGAGGGGGCAATGGCTTGGGCTGATTGAGAATGCGAGGCAGGATGTCCTGGGACTCTTCTGTACCAATGGGTTTTTGTGTGGTAATGGGAAAGGTTGTCGGGAGCATTGTATCATAGTTCTTGAAGGAAAAATAACGGGATCATTACAAATGTGGCATTTGCATGAAAGGGCAATGTATAATAGTGGCCTGGTGCGAAAGATACTGGGAGCATTCTGGGGAAAGGGGTATTTCCTACCGAACTGGGGGGGCGTGTGTATGAGGGGCTTGGCGGGTGTTGTCTTGTTATACAGGATCAAGGGAGAAACTTTAAAAAAACGGAAAAAAAAATGAAATTCGGCAACGAGAATGACAGCGGGGCGATCAACACGGTCAGCGAAGGGGGAGGAGCGGGATCAAGCCGAGAACGAAGGATTGCGAAGAGAAAGTTGTACATAGGGTACCTGTCCAAACATGTAATAGGCAGGGGGGCGACAAAACAAGAGTATAGAGGGTCCTCGCCTCTCAGAAAAGGAGAAGGGATATACGTCTCATCGGGGATTGAGAGCGAGGAAGAGAAAATGAGTGTGGAGGAGAGGACTCGGGGCTCTGCCGAGAAGAAGGCCGAAGAATGCGAACAACATGAACCTTGGCATGGGGAGAACGAAGGAAGGCAGAACATGAGTGACAGGCATGAAAGAGGGGAAAAAACGAGGGAAAGCCGGCGTGAAGAGCGGAGCGGCCACGACAGTTGTGAGAGGAGATACATGGACTTTGAGGAAGGATACGAGAGAAGGACGGTGATTCCTTATAATCTAGATCCAAAGAACTTCACGGGTGAGTTCAACCCCGTACAGACGACAGAGGATGAGGACGAGGAGGAAGAGGTACAAGAGATCATTGAGATTAGCAGTGACGATGAGAGGGATGAGATCTCAAAGCCCCGAGAAGAGAGGCGACCACCTATGAACCAGCAACGTGAAGGGCCCTCCAGATGGGAAGATGAGTTTGGGCCAACGCCCAGTCATTGGTTTGAGCAGTGACTTACTGTAATCAAGCACGATTAAATTATCAAGACCAGGAAATTCATGGGCGGGAGTGGCAGTTACACCTTTGGACTTTTACAATGAGAGGGAGCTGCGAGATATTGCGAAGAGAAAGAGAGAAATCCTAGCATCCGGTTGGGGAATTAAAAAGTCAGTCGAAAGTCGGCATGGGCAAGGGACCGAGCAAGATGGGACACATGACATCAAGCGGGACTAGATGTTATCAGCGCTGGACAAGAATTATGCTTTTCTTTTGCAAATTTGGAATGACAAAGATTGGATAGTAGAGTGAGCTTTCTAGGAATGAGCGATATAAGGACTAGCTAGAACTGTGAGTAGAAGATAGCGCTCTGAAGCTACTTCCTGGATAAGATACCTTCGAAAGAGTATGTGCAAAACAATGATACGGGGTATGGGGGTGTGACTGGTTGAGATGGTTGTATTGTGAGCTTTGGATGGAATAAAGATTGTGCTTTTGAGAGGAAACCATGAGTTCAGATTGACAAGCAAAGCAAGGCATTGAGTGTTGGTCGAATGCAAGAGAGGTTAGGGAACCTATGGGTAAAGAGGCGTGAAAAACACCCCTTCCCTAGGAGCCTAATCCAACAGAGTCTCGAATGAGCCTGAAAATAGTAGAGACCTGAGAAATCAGAAAGAGTGAAAATAGAGGGGGTGCCCCTGTCCTTCGCTATGGTTGAACGGTCGAGTGGGCTAGTATTGCTTGGGGTTGCAAGCCTCAACTCGAGCACTAGACGCTAAGTCGGATGTATGCATGAATAGTAAATAGTATTGAGAAAGGACAAAGGAAACCGCACGCATAAAACTGCAAAAAATTGCCACCTTCTAACCCCCGAGGCAAAGATAAGATCTGTGTCCTCGAGGCCCACCCCCTCGGGCGCCAACATTGGAATGGATAAGGACGGCCCTAACAAGGCTGTTCGATTGGAATGGATAAGGACGACCCTGACAAGGCCGTTCGATTGGAATGGATAAGGATGACCCTGACAAGGCCGTTCGAGTGGAATGAATAAGGACGGCCCTGACCAGGCCGTTCAATTGAGAATGGAAAGAATGACCCTAACCAGGTTGTTTGGAATGACCCCTGACAAGGATCATTCTTTGGAATTGTTACTAGGGTCTCCTTGCATGGCTGCTTGAGAAAGGAGGAGTTGGAAGGATCTGGAACCCGCATTGAGGAATTGTTTGAGGATTGAGGATTGCATTGCATATCAGGGGGCCCTAGGCGGATTGGAAAAGATATGGAAATTGCATTGGAAGATTTTGCTTTTCTTCTAGTCTAAGGCCTCAGCAGGAGGGGGATACCGGTGCGTGCGCCGCAACCTCAAGACCTCTACCCGTCAAGGGAAAAGTCTCAGCACGACCTATTCCTCATAAGGAAGGATAAGGGTTGAACGACCAAAGCATTTTTCTCTTTGACTGGTGCTCTCCGTCCGGAACTGAATCCGACAAAGAGCTCTAGTCGGGAAGTTCAAACTGCGCCTCATGCTGAGAATCTAAACGTCAAGGGCGTGGCGCCAAACAGGCGTGGAGTCATTCTTTTTCGAAGCCTCATTTGCTCTCCCCAACCACACGCCATACCGTAGAGGAGCGGCGTGGCCGTTTGGGATGGACCAAGGTTACTCGCGTTAAGTTGAGCGGCACTGTCCAAAGGGAGGGGTCGGGCGAGGTACCGGGTGGAGTCCACACCCACCACAAGGCGAGTGACACCGCCCTGCCGGATCATTACAACCGTTCCGGAACTAACTGCGAGGTCTTCATAACTGCACTCGCAGACTAATAGAGAGTCTCAACTCTCTTGAAAGGAAGAGGCCGGATCCAAGAAAATACCACTTGGGAGGAACGATTCGCAAGGGGGCCACTTGTGGTATGATGGGGTCCTGGGGGGCGTGGACTGGACCCGCCTAACAGATGCGAGGAGGCACCTCAATGATGATGCCCATCTCCAAAAAAATGGTCGTCGAACTAGAGTAGAGGATGAGGTGAGTTATCAGCGGGGGGGGACTGATCACCCTTCCATTTTGGGGTTGATGGGCCGGCATCCGTCAACTCAGTTGGCAAGGCAAGGTTTGCGTACCTTCAATTGAAAACCAGTCGTGCGATGGGGACATCGCATTTTGAGTGGGGGAAAGACGTGTCATCTACCGATGAAAAAGCGTGCAAAAGGATAAAGGTTACCATCAGTTCGAAAAAGACATGTGTAATTGACTTTGCGTGGGTTTGAGAAAGGTCTGGCAAGATGTCCAGAAGAGAAAGACATGTGTAATTGACTTTACGTGGGCTTGAGAAAGGTCTGGTAAGATGTCCAGAAGAGAAAGACATGTGT